AAGAAATTTACTTTTAGTAAAAAAAAAAAAAATAAATTAACGTTTGGTTAATGTTTTTCGGCGTGCTCACACTTTTTTTTACTGAAAACTTTTATTTCTCTAAAATGCATTTTATCTGATTAAAAAAACCCCAAACAACCCGATAATGAATAAAATGCTTAATTTTTGGTCAACAAAAACATTCTGCACGATCCACAAGTCTTTTGGTGGATCTTTTCTCATCTCCTGCAAAATATAGTACCTTTGGTTTCGACTAATCCAAACCACACTATTAATAACCTACACTGCAGGGAAAGTGAAGGAAGGCTAGTGCATAGTTTACCTACTACATTTACTCCTGCAATATTTACTGCAACATTTACTGTAATAATTTACTGCAATACTTAACTCCTGCTATCTTTACTCCTCAGGGTGGCTGAGGGCTGGCTGTGGTTTCTGGCTTTGCACTCTTCCTGATAAGAGCAGTCCTAACCCTAAGGCCTATTCCATAGCAGCCACCACCCATGGGATGGGATGTGGGCCTGAGTGGCCCCTGGAGCTGACCCACCGAATGGTTACCCTCCTGACACATCGCCATTGGCTGTGCAGTGATAAAAATGGGAAATTTTTTGAGGATACTCAGAAAATTTAGAAATGTTGAAGGGAATATTGGTAATGGGGTATCATAAGGTGGTTAATGGTAACAGAATGTGTTTAATTAGTGGCGTTTAGTTATTAGTTTCTGAATGTGAGACAGGAGAAGCAAGATGGAGCGGTTCTGTCCCCTGTAGGTGAAGTGTTTTCTAGTGTACCTATGGGATTCCAGGCAGCTCTTACCCTACAGACCTGACACAGTTATAGTATAATACATTGTAGAATAATGAGAGTGTTTGAACTGCTTTATGTAAGCAGGAGATGGTCAAACCTGGCATAACTTTTTTTTTTTATTATTACTGTTTGTTAAAAGAAATTAGTCTGCAAAATGAAAACCTTGACTGCAATCTGCCCTGGCTAAAGGTGCTCTGCAAGTGGTAGCATTTTGGTCCGTTGTTGGTGAGTACTTTGCAACTACACACTGATAGAGTCACAGAATATTTTGGGGTGTAAGGGACCATAAAGACCATCTCATTCCAACACCCCCCCACTCGACCAGGTTGCTCAGAGCTCCATCCAAGCTGGCCTTGAGCACTTCCAGGGAGGGGTCTAATGCTAAGGTTTGTGTGGTGTTCCCTGCAGTGCTGCCTCTCCATCCACAGTGGTGCCAGGTCTGCCCTGTTTGACCAAGACGTGGCCTTGGCTACACTTGTGATTGTATTGTAAGTGAATATGAGGATAAAGCTGTGAAGAAGCTCCTGCTACTATAAAATACTGCACGTGTCCCTCAGCTACCTGGACTTTTGCAAACTTATTAAGTGAGTAACTTATTTGATGTGAAATTCTTGTTTCAGGCATTGATTTACATATTTGAAATGTCTCTGGAAGATTGTGTTTGACAAATTTCCTTCTCTATGATGGCACATCTTTCTGTATTAGTGTATCCTGTCAATGTGGGAATAAGAACTTTTGTGGAGGTAGCTCAGCTTCCAGAGAAACTGTATACCTAATGCCAGGACAAGTGTGCACTGCCTTTTCATAAAAAGAGCAATATTTAACTGGTGTTCTGCTAAAACATGACTTTTTCTCTGAGAGAGTGGGCTAGAAGAGGGACTGTTTTGTGTAACAAAACCACACTGCTCTGGCAGAATAGCAGAGCAGGACCAAAGCAGGTTAATGAGTGGGTAGTGTGATTCACAGCACTTGCTCAGCCTCTCTCATCTCTGCAAGCACAAACTACTGTTAGAAAATGGCAGTGCAAACCACTTGCTTCTTGCTAACCTCCATGGGAAAACAAGCAAGAGTGCTCTCCTTCCCTTCTCCTTGCCCCACAAGACAAATCTTATAGCTGTTTTCAACTATCCACAGTACCTCTTCCGCCCACTTTGGGTTTAGTGAGAATTTTGCACGAAGAACTGGGGGGCAAAGGACAGGAAGCAGTGGTTTTTGAGTGGGATTGTACACTTGAGATTTGCCTACAGATGTATCCTCATGTACTGCTCCTGCTTTCACAGCCTGGTCTTTCTAACCTCCGTTCCTCCAGTCAATACAGGGCTCCTGTGGTCGCAGGTGGGAATGCAGAAGGAAACTGTTAATAACCGTTGCTGGCAACCGACTTCCCTTTTTTCTTAGGAAAGCATAGAGTTTGCAGTTCAGAATCCTACCCTGCGACATAGGTTATTCTTTTGCTGTGTGTCCACCTCTCTTGGCTCTTCAGGATCCATTACCTTTCTGTGTATCAACCCTGAGTCTGCCATGAGTGACCCATCCCTGCTGTTTATTGCTGGAGCAAACACTGTGGAAGACCAGAGGGCTCGCTGGGAGAGAAAGCGCAGCCGGACAGCCAAGGAGCTGCTGGAAACTGAACACAGATACCTCGAGCAGCTGGATTTGGTGGTCACAGTGAGTATTTCTGCCTGTTTTGCTATGTGGGTATCTTCAGACAGCACGTACTTATTTGTGTTGTCATGGGGAAGGGTCAAGAGCAAGACTTTGATATATCCCTAGTGCCTGGGACAGCTGCTGGGGCTGAAAGGTTTTTTTGTTGTTTTTCTTTTACCTCCTCTGTAATATTCAGTAGCTTGTGGGTTTGGCCCTTTGGCTTTGGTCTATACATGGACATTAACCTTTGAATTTTGATTGTATAAGGACTTACCTTAAGATGCCTGAGATGTATGAAATGTAGGGGGCACAAACAAACAAAGACTATAGACAAGATGGTGAAAGACAAATGCATCTAAGGATACTGAAATACACTCTATTGGTCTTTTTAGTAGTACTATAGTACTGTTCCATGTGTTTAGAGTCATGGTCAAAGTTACAAATCAGGCTAACATCTGATGATGGATTTCTTAGGCAGACATTCATAATATTTGATATCCTTACAAGCCAGAGTGTGCAGGCAGGAACTTCTGGCTTCTGCTGTATGCCACAAATGACCTTTGAGTAACCTCAAAGGTTAATAACCTTTGTAGCTTTCCATTACTTAAAGGAGGCTTATAAAAGAGAGAGAGAGACTTTTTGTACAGGCATATATTGATAGGACAAGGGGGAATGGTTTTAAATTGAAGGAGAGTAGGTTTAGATTAGATGTTAGGAAGAAATTCTTTTACTGAGAGGGTGATGAGGTAATGAAATAGGCTGCCTACCCAAGTTTTGGATGTCCCACTCCTGGAAGTGATGGGCCAGGTTGGATGGGGCTTGGAGCAACCTGGTCTAGTGGAAAGTGTCTAGTGGGAAATGAGATGGTCTTTAATGTCCCTTCCAACCCAAACCGTTGTGTGATTCTATGATGATCTGTGAATTCTACCTGTTTGAAATTCTCTCTTTTTTTCCTACTTAGTACTTTGTGACTATTTTAAAGGCCAAAGGGACATTGAAACCTGCTGTGTTGGAAACTATATTTGGACCCCTAGAATCCATATATTCGGCCAGCCAGTAAGTGGACACATTGTTGCAATTCCTGTAATTGTACTGGGAGGACTCTATACTGATGAGAAAGCTTTATTTCCCAAAATCTTACTAACACCTTGTAAGACAGGCATTCACTTCTAGCACTGCTAGCTTTGGTGACACTTAATGTGTACCCAGGAAACTGCTGATCTGTGTCACATATCTGGATACCCAGTTACTCGGTAGTGGTTTAACCTTAGTAAGTCTGTTCCACGGTGTGTTCTGTGGCTTACTCTGTGACTTCCAAGCACATATTTGGCACAGAAACTGGATGTGAGGTGGAGAACAACAAAGGAAGGTCATCATAGGAATGAAACAGAGAGAGCTGTGAAAATGCCATCAGTAATGTAGCCCTCACAAGCTATTTTTGCTCCTTGTACACAGTGTTCTGTCATTTCACCTGGAGAGAGGGAATTTGGGACCAGGACTGGAAAGTTTTTGTCAGAATCTGGATCTTTATGGCCACTATGCTGAGAATTTGGAGCAGGCAAATAAAACCTTGAAGGTAAATAACTACTTTACTCTTCTTATTCTCTGTGTTTTTCTGTTCTGTGAAACAGCTACATCCTTCCCTTTTTCTTCTGTTTCTGGAGTAATCATTTTTCTGACCTACTAGGCTGATGATATTCAGTCTTTCTTCCATAATAAAGTGGTAAAAACTTCTCTACTTCCTTAGAGCTTCAAATTTTTCATGCTTTTTTTCAGGTGTTTGTGTATGTAAATGCATATGCTGAGAACAGCTTTCTCAAAGAGAGTTCTGTATTTACTCCCACTCCTTCTCGGCTGGCAGGCCTAGAGAGCTTCCAGGCTTTCACTAGGGTACAGTGATCTCTTTCTGGGAATTGTCAGGTCTCCTAATTTTTCCCACTACCACTAACTGTATCCTTAGCAGTGGGATTTCCTTTTCCTTCACAATTTCTTTTCTCTGGTAGAATTTTATTTTTTTGAGGGGGACGCATGTCTCCAAGTACAACATGTTTTCAAGAAATTTCAGAAGGATATATTTTTATTCCAAAGTTCTGACAGCTATATCTGGAATTTAAACCCCTCCACCCCCAGTTTTTGTCCATGCATGTTCCCAGATGCAGGATGTACTGGGATATTTCCCTTCTCTAGTATTTCCATGCATATATTCACACTGTTGATTGTCCAAGAGAAAAAGGCATTTCGGATACTTGCCTTGAGGTGATGGGAATGTGGAGCTGCATTGCTTTGTCTTGAAATGAGTGGGACAAAGCCACAGGTGCACTCCTTGTTTTCCTAACTGGGTTCAACCTTCCCTTCTTCTTTCTTTCCATTTGCTGCATATACTAGCTTTGTACTGCTGTGCCTGTATGAAAGAATAATATTGCTTCCATTACCCACTGGAACTGATGGTTAGGAGAAAGGGAGTGGCTTGCCTATAACCACAAAAGAAGTTGATGCTTGTGTTTAGGACTGGAGTCTTAAACTTCAAGTTGAAGAGTTCTAAGCTCTGGTTCAGACTAGAGCACATAATTCTTTTTGTAGTCTCAAAGCTGTATCCCTTTTCTGCTGCACACAGGAGCAATTGAAGAAAAATAAGTCATTCCGGCGGTTTAAGAAACTCCAGGAATCTCGACCTCAGTTTCAAGGGAGGGAGCTAGAGGATCTGCTTCCTTTGCCCCTGCAGAGGCTGCACCAGTAAGTAAGAAATTGTGAGTCTTCAAGGGGTTAGCATGAGGAAGGAAAAAAGAACATAACAGTGTCTTGATTGCTGTGGGAGGTAAAGTTGCTTAATGTGTCTCAAAATCAAAAAAGCACATAGCAGTGAAACAAATCTGAAGATGTGCCTGTAGAGTGGAATCACTGTACGTGGATTGGAGATGATGCAGGGAAGTAGCTGTGTTTAGCCCTGGCTCCTATCCCTTCATGTAGCTCTTGGGTAGAATTGGAGGCTTCCTGCCACCTCAGTAAGCTACCGAAGTACAACTCTGAACAAAAACAAGCTGTCTGAAATGCTGTAGAAGTGATGCCCTCTGCCAGAGATGGCCTTGCTCTGCTTTTGTGCAGGTTGCTGCCCTGGGGCATTGTGACTCTTGTAGATCACTGCTTTTGGAAAGGATGAAATTAATGAACACAGAAGAGCTTTTCTTCCCTCTCTGGTTATCAGGGCCGTACGCTTTCCTCAGATTCAATGCCTACTGCAGTTGTCTGAGCCTGGACAGATCCACATTGCTGCATTCCCTTTTGAGGCACCAAACCTTCCAGATTTCAAGAAATATTCATACAGCACTTGTGCATGTGTGATTTTTAGAGTTATCCTGTGCAGAGCCAGGAGCTGGACTTGATGGTCCTTTTGGGTCCCTTCCAACTCAGGGTATTCTGCAATAATCCACCCTCTGAAGAGGCAAACTGACTGCATGGGGAGAGTGCTGCATGCACTCATGGGCAGCCCTTTCTTGGGGAGGGTGTCTGGGTAATACAGAGCACAGGTAGTTTGCTGGGAACTCAGCTGCTGCTGCTGTAGATCAAGTAGCTGCTTTTCAACTATAAATATTAAGCTGACTGGTGTTTTTTTTATTATAATGCTTTGGATGCTTCCCTTAAATTTGCAAAACAGCAGTATATTTGTTGCTGTCCAACAGGTGGGAAAAGTGTTAGCTTTTTAACAGAAGATCTAATTTTATCATTAATCAGCTCATCATGTTCAATTTTCTTCAAAACACTAATAACAAATACACTAGGTCATACGAGTTCTGCCAGTTTGTGAATCTGTTAAATTCCTTCTGTCATTTCAGACTGAAAACAGTTTGACTTTACTAAGAGAAAGAATTTGCAGAGATCTGATCCTTTCCAGTAAAGACTGGAGAGGAAAAAAAGAAAAAGGAAGATCCTAGTTCTTATAGAAATGCCTTTATTTTCTTGTATGGGCAGGAAACACGGTATGAATGCCACCATTCAGATACAAAAAAAATAGATAGTTCAAAGAGAAATTTGTCTGGTATTGAAGGCATTTTTATGTGAATGCTGAGAGTCTCAGGAACATAAGTAATTTGTGAGGTTGTTTTTATCAGATTCCCAGGAAAAGCCAAAGGCTTGCAGATGTATAAAATACTTGGGTTACTTTAGTGAATAAATTTGATGATAAAATGAATGTGCTTGAAGTGTGGCCAAAACTGCTTGGTTAGGCTTAGATGTGTGTACTCCATCTCCTGGTGGAGTGCTCTTCATCATGCTGTCACTTACAGGAGGTGCTGATGTTCCTGGTATCTTGTGAGTTAAACCTGCTCTCTCCAACTTAGGTACAAGCATTTCTTCAGAGACCTGCTGGAGAACACCTGCCCAGACAGTGCTGAGCACCTCAAACTTGCAAGTATGATTCCACCTGTAGATGCTGACACTTTGGTCAGTGATAGCCTCCTTGCTAATAATATTTGGATTCCCACTTCCTGCCTGCTTCCACAGAGGAAAAATCTTTCTCTCTGTGGGGCTCTTGTGGATTACTATTTCCCTTCTCCATTTTGATCAAGATATCACTGAGAACACATTGAGAATAAAAATGTAGAGTAACTGTCTGTGAAAGTGGCCTAAGGGTTAAATTGGAGAAATGGCAGCTCTATTTTTTTAATTTTTATTTTTAATTCTTCTATATTCTGATGGTGGTGAGGCACTGGCACATGCTGCCCAGGGAACTTGTTGATGCCCCTTCCCACCAAGGGTTCAAGGCAAGGTTGGATGGGGCCCTGAGCAACCTGGTCTACTGGAAGGTGCCCCTGCCCATGGCAGATGGGTTGGAATGAGATGATCTTTAAGGTCGATTCCAACCCAAACCATTCTATGACTCTCTTTGTCACTAGTGGTGTTCCCCAGGGCTCAGTACTGGGCCCAGTCCTCTTTAATATCTTATCTATGATCTGGACGAGGGAATCAAGTGCACCCTCAATCCGTTCACAGATGACACCAAGTTGGGCAGGAGTGTTGTTCTGCTGGGAGGTAGGAAGGTTCTGCAGAGGGATCTGTACAGGCTGGATCAATGGACCGAGGCCCAGTTGTGTGAGGTTCAACAAGGCCAAGTGCTGGGTTCTGCACTTGGTCACAACAAACCCCTGCAGTGCTCCAGGCTGGGGGCAGAGTGGCTGGAAAAGGACTTGGGAGTGCTGGTCAACAGTGGCTGAACATAGGCCAGAGCGTGGCCAGGTGGCCAAGAAGACCAATGGCACCTGCCTTGTGTCAGCAATAGTGTGGCCAGCAGGACCACAGCAGTGACTGTCCCTCTGTACTCAGCACTGGTGAGGCTGCAACTCGACTCCTGTGCCCAGTTTTAAGCCCCCACTGCAGGAGACACATTGAGGTGCTGGAGTGTGCCCAGAAAAAGGCAACAATTTGGGGAAAGGTTGCCCACAAGTCCTATGAGGAGCAGCTGAGGGAGCTGGGGGTGTTTAACTTGGAGAAGAGGGGGCTCAGTGGGCACCTTATCACTCTCTACAACCACCTGAAAGGAGATCGTAGCCAGGTGGGGGTCGGCCTCTTCTCCCAGGGAACAAGTGACTGGACAAGAGGAAATGGTCTCAAGCTGTGCCAGGGAGGTTCAGGCTGGACATCAGGAGGAATTTCTTCATGGAAAAGGTTGTTAAACATCGGAATGGGCTGCCCAGGGAAGTGGTGGAGTCACCATCCCTGTAAGTGTTCAAGAACTGACTGGATGTGGCACTTAGTGCCACGTTCCAGTTGATAAGGTGGTGTTCACTCAAAGGTGGGACTCAATACTCTGAGCGGTCTTTTCCAACCAAAATGATTCTGTGATATTTACAAGTAGTTAACTGAAGTAACACCACTTGTAGGGCTTTTTCCTTTTCTGCTTCCAAGTTATTCCTCTGTCTAATGTTTCATTGGTAAATGTTTTCTAGAGCTTCAGAATTGTTGATTGGAGAGAGGCCTCTGGAGGTAAACTACTCCAATCTCCTGCTGAAATTCCTGAATAAAACTGTTGTTGATATTTGGTTTAAAACTTTGCTTCTTAATTTCATATTATCTTTTCTTAGCAAATAGCTAAGGTGAAATATATACTCATTTGTGATAACCTCAGAATATGCTGCTGTAATTTCAGAGGCTGTGAAATCTATATCTGAGATATCTCAGTGGGTCCAAGGCATAACTGAAAAAAGAGAGAACTCATTGCAGCTGCTTCGGGTTCAGAAACTGCTCAAAGGACAGAAGACCCAGGTTTTCACTCCAGGTGGGTCCTACTGACAGCTCTGTTTTTCTTCTGCCATGCTGAGGTACATGAAGGTACGCTCTCCTTCACCTCTGACTCAACTCATATTAACCGGTTTTACCCTTCTGCCCAAATTCCATAGAGAGGTGGTGAAAGAATATGACTACTAATTCAAGCATTTTTTTTTTAAAGTTAAGCATTTTTGAGTAAGGATAAGCAACATCTTAATTGCCTGACATTCAGGTAGGAGGAGCTGATGACATGTAGTTAAAAAGTTATGAACCCAAGGAAGCCAGGATTTTAAGTCCTGGGTGGGAATGAAAGACAGACATTAAATATTTTTTAAAAGACTGTAAATAGTGGCATTGTCTCTACTCCATTGCAGGAACCATAGATTTCTGAGTGTCAAGGGCCCAAGCACTGTGTTATTGTTTATCTTAAGCCATAAGATTCATGGAATTCCTGTCATACCCTTCATATGAAGAATTGTCTTTTATTTATTCTTTTTTTAAAATTTATTCTTTTATTTATTTCTTTGCCAGAAATCAGCATATTTGTGTTGATAGCTGAGATATATAAAATCACAGTCACTGGCATGTAAGAACATTTAATAGGATAACTGGTCTCTATGACCTCTTGTGTTACTGGGTGCTCTCCAAGCCCAGACCACGCTCCAAGCTGTGTAAGGAATATTCTGATAAATGCACCCCGCCTGGGAAATTATGAAATGGTCACCTGGGGTTTCACCCTCCGCTATTGCAGAGGTTATTCAGGCACAGTGCTGCAGCTGGAGAGGAGTGTTAAAGTCACTGTGTGTGAAGGCACAGCTCCAGGTACTAGTGAATGTGGTTGTAATTCATACCTGTGGATCTTTGGGTGAAAGACACATTCCACAGCGGGATGGAGGAGAGATTCAGAAGGGTAAAACTGACAAAGCTCGTGGGCTGAGACGAAGACAGTTTAATAGGTAAAGTAAAAGCTGTTCATGCAAGCAAAACAAAGCAAGGAATTCATCCACCACTTGCCATGGGCAGACAGGTATTCAGCTATTCCCAGGAAGGCTGGGCTCCCAACACACACAGTGGTTACTTGGGAAGACAAATGCCATCACTCCAAACACCCCCCTTCCTCCTTCTTCTCCTAGCTTTATATGCTGACCATGGTGCCACATGGTATGGAACGTCCTTTGGGGAGCTGGGATCAGCTGTCCCAACTGTGTCCCTTCCCAGCTTCACATGCACCCCCAGCCTCCCTATTGGTGGGGTGAGGAGCAGAAAAGATCTTGATGCTGAGAAGTGCTTACACAGCAACAAAGAAAAGATCCCTGTGTTGTCAATGCTGTTTTCAGCATTGCAAATCAAAACCAGCCCCATAGCAGTTACTATGGAAAAAATTAACTCTATACCAGCCAAATCAGCAAGGCTGACAAAGGTTGTTTATCAGAGGTCACTCTCAAAAGTGCCTAATCAATGGGCAGATAAATTTAAAATTCTCTTCCCCGTTCTTACAATTCTTCTCATGATGCCAGATGAAAGGGAGCTTACACAGGTGTGCTCTATTTACAAGGGAGCAGGAGCATGTGGTGGGGGGCCTGGGCACATTGGGGTAGTGCATAAGTAAAAAGGTAAATCAGTTATCCTGAATGCCAGAACTAATAAGATAACCCCTTTTTTAAAAAAAAAAAGAACAAACAAACCACCCAAAACATTACAGCTAGACCAGAGATGGCCATCATTTGAAAGCGTTTGGTCCATAGGTTTTTTGGTCTTTGAATATTCTGAGACATGTAGCAAGGCAAGTGTTGAGGGTCTGTAGAGGCCTCTCCATTATCTAGGATAGGGAATTTTTATGGTCATGTTTTCCATTGCCTGGAGTTACACGGGTACTCTTGGATGTCTGAAGCAGAAAAGTAGAGGCAACTGGAGCTTGCTAGTTTTGAGTCATCTTTCCGGAAACAAGCTAGTTTTTTTCAGAACTGTTAAGACTGTGTCCTGCCACCAGGAGGGAAATAAAAACATAATGCTGTAGATTCACAGAAAAGAGGAGCTTTGGAGTTGGGTATCTCACATTTGGCAGTCTCTCAGATGTACTGCTCCCAGTGAAGAGACCCTGCTTTTCTTGCTGCATTCCATATTTAGGGCAACTACCATATTAACCAGAACTGCCTCCTTAACTTAGCACACTGTTCTGTCATCCTGAGCTTCCATAGGGATATTTTCTTGCCCTCCTTTCACAAGCATTTCCTAAATCTTGTGCCCCTGGTAATCCATGGATTTAATCCATAATCCAAGATTTCCAGTACAGTCCAGGACAGATTATATACCTGAGAGTCTGAGCACAGCTTAGCCTGAGGGGAACAGTTTCCCAGTCCAGTCCCATGTTGCTGACACCTTCCTTTTATTTATTTCTTAAACTTTGATTGATTCCTGCACTTGATTCCTTCTCTTTCTCACGTTCTAATTCAGACAAGAGGAGTGGTTCCTGTGGAATAAGAAGGAATTCACCTGCCTCTTCGTTTTGTGACTGTAGCATACTAAGTAAGACACAATCCATAATTAAACAAAACCGTGATTTTTTTCTAAAAGGTACTTAATAGCTGGTGCAGAAGCTAAGGCATGAAAAACAGTGGCAGAAATTCCCTGGCAGGTGTTTCCTAGACAAGGCCAGGTGGCAATACCTAATTGCAGCTTTATATTTTTACAAATAATCTCACTGGCAGGTGCCTTCATAATTTCCATGAGTTGATGGCTATCTTGCACAAGAATCCTAGTCAGAGGTCCTGCTTTAATTATTCCATTTTGTGTAGATGCCATTTTTTTAATTGCTGCTTACAGCTGGGTTTATCTAATTGTTTTAATTATTTTTCTTCTGCTTTCTCTACTTTTATTGCAATTGATTTCATGGGTGGATGACACTGGGCTCTGTTCTGTAAGAGAGGCTGATAAGGTTGCCTATTCAGACCTTTCTTATTTTATATCCCCTTTGCTGTCTCCTCTTTAGAACAGTAGTCTGCATTGTGCAATCTCTTAACTACTGGAGGTCTGCATATAATTAGGTGACTTGTGAAACATGGAGGGTTTGGGTTTTCTGGCGTTTTTCTTTTTTTTAAAATTTATTTAATTTACACACACAAGCAAGCAACAAAATACTACATTTTCAAAGCTTAGGCTAACTTCTGTTTCGCCACTAATGATAAACAAATGGGCAACACAAAGATCGTTCATGGTGTGTTTTCTGAAGGCTTATTTTAGTTTAAAGGTATGCATACAATTTTAAAACCATGTTTTTGTTCTGATCTTTTTAAACAGGCTTGCATATCATAATTAACAAAGTAGATTTATAACAACTTCAGCCTGCTCCTAAACGTTTTGGGCTGGTTAATGCTTTTGTATGGGTGTTTTCCGTGTTGGTGGGCTGGACCCAGTTGATACTTCAGTGCCTTCTAGTGGCTGGAATTGATGTAGAACCCGGTAACCTACAAGGGTGGCTCACGCTGTATTCCTGTTTGTCTCATTACATCCTTCTTTCCCCCCTCCTCAAGTGATCTGACAACTGTCTCTGCTTCCCTTGCATGCCCAGGGCGCTGGTACATCCGCGAAGGCTGGCTTTTGGTGGTGCCTTCAAAGGGAGAAGAACTGAAGCGCAGGATGTTCTTCCTGTTCTCTGATATCCTCATTGCAGCAAAGCCCTGCCACCCCCTGCACCCGCTGAACTCGCACAAGCTGGCGTGCCAGGCTGTTTACCCTCTCCACCAGTGCACCGTGGATAAAGTGTTCGGCCACACGCGGAGCCAGGGAGGGCTCCTCAGTGTAAGTCTCCCCACTTCTGCCTGGCAGGAGTGCCAGTGGAGTCAGACTTGGAAGCAGGTTTCCAGCTGTCTCAGCAGCAGCAGGACTGAGACGACGAGACTAGTGACAAAATGCAATGAGCTAGTCTGAGTCAAGGCAACTCTTCTCTTTTTGAGTGGTGTAGGTCCTTTTCCTTTCATGGTGTAGGCCCTCCTGCACGCTCTGGGGTACAGGTTGCTGCTGGTTGCTTCACTTAGCTCAGGTGAGGAGGGTCCAATAAGACTTTGACATGCCCTCATCAGAGCCACAGGTATAGGGGGACAGCCCCCTGACATGTGACAACGAATACACTGACTGTGGGCTGAACTTACAGAAAAACAGAGAATGAGGGAGGTGTATTATCACAACAGATATTGCCTGTTTATCAAGCTCCCTGAGGGCTGCAGGGTCCTTGGCAGGGACCAGTGTCCTCAGTAGAGGTTTCAAAGTCAGTTCTTCCAAGGTTGCAGGACCTGGGGCTGTGTTATCTCATTCCTTGTGAGCTGCGACAAAGAACACTTCGAGCAATCTGTGACCTGGTGGTAGTGGAAGGACCCCTAGGGACAGCTTGGAATAAGGGAGAAAACTGGATGAAAAGCTGCTAAGAACTGCCACTGCTCATCTCCAAACAGCTTATAAAGTCAGAGTGAGCTGTCAACTGTGGCTGGAAAGAATGGTCAAGTCTGGCACTTGCTCTCTACTGTCCAGCCTCTGGCTTCTCCCAGTACTAAAGCTAAATTTTTCAGTCTGGGAAGGAAAATGGTGAAAATCAGCATGCAGAGATGAGTTTAATTCAGTAGTGATGATTCTCCTTTAATCAGAATTGCTGCCTAGGCAAGGAATGCCACAGATTCTGTTTGCCTTTCAGCTTTCCTTTCCAAACAAGGCACTGCTGTTGATGTCCAGCGACCAACAAGATATCAATGACTGGTATCGGAGTCTCACAGCTGCAGTCAGGTAGGCATCTCTTTTCCAGAGGTGGAAGGGGCTGAGAGTAAGGGGACGGGACATAAAAATGATCATATAGGCCTGTGTATGGTTATAAAGGTGATAGAGAAGGCCTGACTGGCAGCCAGGAACACAAGGAATTGTATGAACAGATTTCACCTATAAAGTGGCCTTTCCATTTGTTTTTCTCTACAGGCAGCTGAAAGCCTGATGCACTTGAGTACAAGACAGACTGGCAAGACAACCACTGTCATGGCAGAAGCCTACACAACCTTAGAAAATGCTCAGGGGCTTATAGCAGAACTGCATTTAGAGGGACTACACACTGTGCTTGTGAGATGACGAATGCTTTGTCAGCTGTCCTAATGTTCATACAGACACTGCAAAAAACAAGTATGCACACTAAACATTTGTGTATAAAAAATAAGTATCAAGAATTTTCCCCAATTTAGCTTAGAAGCTTCTAGCTTTTCTGCACTTTTGTAAACTCAGATTATTAAGGACAAGCAGACGAGAGCCTGATTTGCTTTCCCTCGTTAAATGTTTTTATTCAATTGTCTTTCTAAACCAGTGTTTTCGTGCTCATTTGTCTATGTATGTGTCCAGCTGCTCATACTTCTGGGTCCTGTGACCAAAATGTGTGTTTTGGGTAGTGGTAATATGGACATTACACTGTATTTCCTGCCAGTGGTTCAGGCCACAGTCATCTTATTAAGCAGCATTCACATTTATAATCTGAATACTAAGAGATTATGCAGCTGAAACAGCTCTTGCCTTTGCCTGTATGGTTTGCAGTGCCTTATTGCTTTGAAATCCTGCAGAGAAAACCTTTGGCAGCACCTCTGCTCCTGATCTCCAGGGAAAATTTCCAGGGGCTACAGTCAGCATCCTGGGTCATCAATCCCTGGTAATGTGCTAGGGTTCAGTTTACTAGGATGCCAGACCACTTAAGGAATAAATACAGAAAACGTGTTATTCATGAGGATTTTGTTAAAGCCTCAGCATGGACTTTTAACAATGTGGAAGCTCTGCAGCAACAGCAGTTTGGTTCATCTCCCTACAAAGAGGGCAAATTCAAGGCTACTAGAGACAAAGATTAAGGTCTGTCTGAACACTGACCTTTCAGCATTTTGACTGTTTTTTTCTTCTTCCTTAAGCAGTACACGTCTTTAATTTCACACTGGGTTCACTAAAACAGAGGATACATAACTTTAACTTTTTGTCTTTCCATACAATTAACTTGCTCCATGGGATCACTCATTTAAATGTCTTATGTCTGTAAAACCTGGGAGGGAGGAAGGAATGCAACAGGGTTTTGGAAGCCACACCAGTTCCACCATGTTTTACCAAGAAAGGTTGGAGCAGGTATCCCTCAGGTCCCTTCCAACCTGGTGTTCTATTCTGTGATACCATGTTTTAGTTGGTTTTGGTGGGGTTCTTTTTCGCTGCAAAGGTACAGCTAGGACTTTCAAGTTCTAGCTGTGCTTGAAATCAAAGACAAAGCTAACAACTAAAGATTCTTAAAAGTTAAATCACTCTGAAAAAATTCTGCCATTCTCCCTTTTTGTTCTAATTAGGTAACAGAGACTTCCTGTAATCCTGCACCTGAAGCTGGGACGTCTACCAAGCTCTTGCTAGAGATGGCAGCAACTCCTACTTGTGCTGCCACCTTATTATAAGACAAGTTCATTTGATACTGTCTCTTTATAGGACTTATCTCAGTGTTACCACCCTATTTGCATTCAGTACTTTTTGAAACAGCAAAAGTATCTAATTTTTCACTGAACTTCCTGCCCTGGAATGCTGCACAGTGGCTTCTAAGAAACAATGTAGCTCTGTCACAGTGGAGATGCTGCCCCAGAGCAGGGCTGTGGGACCAGAACCTGTAACAAAGCCAGGTTTTGCTGGAGTGTCACTAATGCTCATGCACAAGAATTAAGCTGTGCCAGGGGAGGTTTAGGTCAGACATTAGGAAGAATTTCTTCACAGAAAGAGCGATTAGACACTGGAATGAGCTGCCCAGGGAGGTAGTGGGGTCACTGTCCCTGGAGGTGTTTAAGGAAAGACTGTACATTGCACTCATTGCCATGGTCTAGGTGGAATGGTGGTATTCAGTCACAGGTTGGACTCAACGATCTCAGAGGTCTTTTCCAACCTAACTGTTTCTGTAAACATAATTCAAACAGAAGCAAACTGAACTTTCTGAACAAAGTTTATTTACACAGAGAACATCAACCACCAGGGCTCCTAGCTTGATTTCCTCCTCTTGCCGAGTCTCTATTCAAACCACGGGAAGAAGCAAGTAAACTGTGCGCACCTCCCATGGCAACCTCAGGTTAGCGACCAACCTCAAGCCCTCCCGACACACACCTTCCATTCCCGTGCTCCAGGACAGCCCCTCGGGGCACGGGGGGACCCCTAGACAGGGGTGCCCGGCGGGGCCGCCGCCCTTTGCAGGTCCTCCCGGTAGCCCTTGAGCAGCTGGTTGAGCAGCGTCTTCTCGGAGTCGCGGCGCGGGCGGATGAGCGGCGGCAGCGGGTTCCCCTTCAGCTCGATCACCGCCATCTTCGCGCGGTCCAGCGCGTCCCGGTTGGGGATCTGCAGCATGCGCGTGTAGCTCCCGGGGTGCGGCTGGAACCGCGGCGCCAGCACCTTGAACAGCTTGTGGATGAGGTCCTTCTCCTGCGGGGCGGCACGCTCAGCTCCGGCACGGCGGCGGGATGAACAGGAGGGATCCGGGGCTGGGAATGCGGGGGTGGACGGGGGGTGGTACTCACCGTCAGCCAGAAGTTCGCCATGCGCATGGCGCGCTCGTCCGTGTCCCCCCGCTTGGCGTAGTCGATGAGCTGCGGGGAGGAAGGAGGCGGCGGGTCAGGGCCCCTCGGCCGCCCGCCCGCCACCCCCGCGCTAAACCCCGGCCCGGCCCGGCCCCGCCGCTCACCCGCTCGGCGTAGCCGCGCATCTCGTCGGCCCGCGCCCAGGGCGTCTCGATGCGCTCATGGCGCACCAGCGCTGTCACCAGGTTGCGCAGCAGGTCCAGGCGCCCCTTCGGGCCGAACCCGAGCCGCCGGTACACGCGGCCGTGCGAGATGGCGGCCGCCACCGACAGCCGCATCCCGCCGCCCTTCCCCGCCGCCCGCCCTTCCCGGCCACCGCCGCCTCCCGGCCTCCCGCGCGCCGCCCGGGCGCTGCCGGGAGATGTAGTCACAGATGTGGCCTCAGGATCCCGGGATGGGTCAGGTTGGGAGGAACTGCACGGGAGTCATCTGGTCCAAGCTCCCTGCTCAAACATAGCACGGATTTGCGTCCAGACGGTTCCTGAATATCTCCAGTAAGGGAAACTCCACGACCTCTTTGGGAAATCTGTTCCAGTGCTCGGTCACCCACACAGTAGAGAAGTTCTCCCTCATTTTCAGGTGGAACTTCCTGTGCATCTCGCCCCGTTGCTCGGTACCACCGAGCAGAGCCTGACTCTATCCTCTTGACACCGTCCCTTTAGAGACACGTTGATAAGGTCCCCTCTCAGTCGTCCCTTCCTCTGGCTGAAGACGCCCCGTTGCCTCAGCCTTTCAGTATAAAGAGAGATGGTATAGCCCCTTAGTCATCTTTGTACCCCTCACCTGGAGCCGCTCTAAGACCTCCACATCTCTCCTGTCCTGAGGCGCCCAGAACACAGCGCTCCGGATATGTCCTCGGCAGTGCTGAGTAGAGGGGCAGGATCAACTCCCACTACCGCTGGCAATGTTGTTCCTAAGGCAGTCTGGCCCGCAGCTGTGTACCGGGAGGTCTGACCGGGACAGGGAAACCGGGACAGAGCCGGCAGAGAGAGGCGGAGGTGCTGCTGGCGCTAAAGGGCCGCACTGCCCCCGGGTCCCGCTGCCGGTCCCGGCGGTCTTTTGCTACTTCTTTTAAAACTATCGGATGCAAGTTAATTAGCCACTCAGATTTTAAAATGTCTAGCTTGATTAAACTGCTGTGTAAGTGATTAAATAAAAATTAAACTGCATCATCATGTCATATGACTATACCATCTGGCTTTCCCCAGATGCAGACGCTAAATGACTCTGCTTTTCATGAATTCTTGTCAGTTCTGTTCCATTATCATCATTCAGTCATGGAAAAATAAAATTCCAAGTACAACTGGGAACTTTGTCTACATTTTCATTCTTAGATCTGCTAGCCATAGATTTTTGTCTTTAACATTTTGCTTCCACTATCTACTTTGTAAAATCTAAGACAGTTGTTACTATGATTGTTCCAGCCTTTTTTTTTTCTTTCTTTCTTCTTATTTATGTTTCAGTATGATTTACAAATGCTTTTCGTTTTACTTTGCATTACCCAAGTCCTAGGTCCCAGCAGTGGAGCCGGATCCCACCAGGAATGACAATCAGCCCGGTGTACCAGCCCTGCTGCTGTCCCTGTGTCATCGGCAGGCAGGGTGGGCTCTGAGGGGAGGAAAGAATGCAGCCAGGCTCCCCGCTGCCGCTCACTACAGGTGTGATGGGGCACAGCCCGCAGGATGCTCCTGGGGCTGCACGGAGCGGCT